GCAAGGGCTGCTGGCAAGAGCTGCACCTGGTGCCTTAATCATGGAGCATCAGCAGCATATCAAAGGGGGTAATTTTTTAGTGCCTTAAACAGGGAGCACAAGCCGGCGGGAGTATTTTTAGTGCCTTAAACAGGGAGCACAGGCCGGCGGGAGTATTTTTTAGTGCCTTAAACAGGGAGCACAAGCTGGCGGGAGTATTTTTAGTGCCTTAAACAGGGAGCACAGGCCGGCGGGAGTGTTTTTTAGTGCCTTAAACAGGGAGCACAAGCCGGCGGGAGTATTTTTAGTGCCTTAAACAGGGAGCACAAGCTGGCGGGAGTATTTTTTAGTGCCTTAAACAGGGAGCACAAGCCGGCGGGAGTATTTTAGTGCCTTAAACAGGGAGCACATGCCGGCGGGAGTATTTTTAGTGCCTTAAACAGGGAGCACAAGCCGGCGGGAGTATTTTTAGTGCCTTAAACAGGGAGCACAAGCTGGCAGGAGTATTTTTAGTGCCTTAAACAGGGAGCACAAGCTGGCAGGAGTATTTTTTAGTGACTTAAACAGGGAGCACAAGCCGGCGGGAGTATTTTTAGTGCCTTAAACAGGGAGCACATGCTGGCGGGAGTATTTTTAGTGCCTTAAACAGGGAGCACAAGCCGGCGGGAGTATTTTTAGTGCCTTAAACAGGGAGCACAAGCTGGCAGGAGTATTTTTTAGTGCCTTAAACAGGGAGCACAAGCCGGCGGGAGTATTTTTAGTGCCTTAAACAGGGAGCACAGGCCGGCGGGAGTATTTTTAGTGCCTTAAGCAGGGAGCACAGGGCCGCTGGTGCCTTAATCAGGGGTGGGTCGGCAGTAACAGTACTGTACCTTATCCAGGGAACACAGGACCGGAGGTGCCTTAACCAAGGAGCACCAGGTTGATGATATGGAACAGGAGGTAGCCCTGGATTTATTACAGCGCTTTTTAGAAAAGCGGGGAGTGGATTGTATAAAATCACTCGTGGGTTTAGTAACATTAGGATGGGTCAAAGGATGTTTTCAAGATCCTACTTCTCGTGTTGATGTTGAGGAGTGGAGACAATTAGGCGATGTTTTATGGGATATGGTAATCGACGAGGATAAAGCTGCAAGGAAAATGATGAAACCGTGGCGGGACGTGGTGAATACTATTAAGCAGTATCAGCTCGAAAAGAACCTTGCAGCTGTGGCAACAACAAAGTTGGGCGGGAAAGTTACACCGTTACCCCAGAAAGTGATGCATCCGGACCTATGCTCTTTGACAGTGATCGTATTCCTGCACCATCCACAGCAGTGCCGGTTTCAGTTAACACAAGTAGGGGCAGTCCGGAGGCCAGCCCCCCCCAGTGCCCTTACAGCCATGCCCCCCCCCCCCCCCCCAACTCAGAGGCGGAGGGGCAGAGGGACGATGGCCCCTCGCTAAAATTTAGCCAACAGGAGGGGCGCGAAGTAGGTGATTTATTGTGGGACGAGACCATCACTGGAGGCAATAAAGGCAGTGAAGCACGACAGCAAGGGCTGGTCTGGCGAACGCCCGTAAAAGCCCTGAGGGAGATGCCAGCAGAACAGAAAGTAGCTGCTGCTGCCATGGCGGCTGTCAGCGCTGTACCATCCCCGCCGGTCCCTGCCGAAACCAACCGCCCGTCCCGATCAGCCACCTTCTTCGGGGTTAATCAGCAGCTCCGCTCTATTAAGGGCACGGCACCAAGTGTTCCTGTTTGCTCCTCCGCGCAAGAAGCGGCAGAGAAATCAGGCGGCGCGGGGGGACAGGGGGGAGCGGCTGCCGCCCGAACCTCTGCCCCCCCCCCCCCTTCGGATGGTTCCGCCCCTGACGGCGCGTCAGCGTCTGAGTCGGAGAGAAAAATGGCGGCTGTGTCCGAATTAAAGCACCAGGGTCACACACCGGTAAGGGACAGGGACAGAGTCCGAGAGCTTGACAGAAAATTACAGAAGTTGAGCTACAGAGCAGAACTCTGCATTTACAATGACAAGAAGAGGAAGCGCTGCCGGCAGCCCCCCCACACCCACTCCCGTCACCCTCACCAGAACCAGCTCCGCTTTTAGCTCAGCCCCGATGGAGTGGGGTGATTCGGGGTGCCTTGTTAGAAGGGGACTGGCATGCTGCTGGGGCGTTGGCCTGCCCGGTAGTGACAACGGATGGGGGACACCCGGGAACACAACACCACAAGATTCTCCTCGGGGGGTCTGGAGAGTCCTTACGAACTTTAGAACTCTGAACTGCCATCTGGGTGTTTCAACATCAACACTGGTATCAAGAACTTGTTCATGTAGTATCAGATTCATTGTATGTTGTGAGTTCAGTGCAATGTTTAGAACATAGCATGCTGAAACCTGTATTAAATTCTGTATTGCATACTCTGTTGTTACAATTGCTGACACTTTTAAAACTGTAAGGGTGGTTTTCTTGCTACATAAGACTGCATAAGATTGGAACATGGACTGACAGAATGGTTACAAAACTTGGGAATTTGAAAAATGGACTGACAGAATGGTTATAAATCTACAAAATTTGGAAATTACTGGCTGTCTGAAAGCTTTGTTGATGTATGGACTGGTAATGCTGATTGTCATTATGATTGTCATGATGGTATTGGGGTCTGTGTGGAAATGCTTTATGAATGCTATGATTCAAACGTTAAAAGGAGTCTGGATTGTCCAAAAAAGAAAAAGGGGGAAAACCTGGTAGGAATTTTTTTTGCGGGGGGATCAGGGTCATGCACTGATCCTACAGGGTTTGGACAATCCAGGCTGGGTCTCTGAGCAGAAAACTGCCCCGTGGTAATCCTGCCCTTGAGGTCACCTGGAAGGGCAAGAAGGAGGAAGTCAATCTAGTGCTTCCTCCCTGTTTGAATGCCTGGATACACTAACCGCACAGTAGATTTAGTTTGTTCACGCGTGCTAAAGATGCAGACCTATCACAGCACTTCTGGGTGCGTGATAAGTGCCTTTAGTCAATAGATTGTAAGCCTGCATGCTTAAGTTGTGCCTTGTCATGTATTAAGAAAATCTTTGAACATACGTTGGGGCAGGCTCTGCTCGTACAAAAAGAAAAAGGGGGAATTGTTGGAGAATGGCTCAGAGACAAGGGTCCTGAGCCCCCCGAGCAGTTGTACGATCAGAGCCTGTTCTAAGGGCTGATGCTGCCTCGCTGATGCTGGGCCTCACTAGGGTTTGCCCGCAGCTGCCGATACATGAGGAATGTCAAGGACGCTTCGGCCTTGTGTACCGTGGTGTGTCGAAAACAGGTTAAGAGGAATTAGAAATAGTGGTCTGAGAAACCTAGTGTTATGGTAACGATGGTCTGAGAAACCCAGTGTTATGGTAATGGTGGTCTGAGAAACATTTTGTTACGGTACTGTTGTGTATCGAAAACAAGTCAAGAGGAATTAGAAATAGTGGCATGAGAAACTTAGTGTTATGAGCAGCTTGTGCTGTTTGCTGACTGCAAGTAGGTGGACCGTGCGAATACAACCTTTAGAGCTTAAGCCAATCAGCTAGTGACTAGTAGGCATAATAGTGTTGTCTGTATAAATATATGTACCCTGACCAATAAACACACACATGTAGATTGATGCTCTATCACCCACATTGAACCCGTCTCAGCGTGTCGTTCGTCCACGGCTCCGCACTTTACCTGCTTCTGTCCTTCTCTGTTACGAAGGGCTTTCATCTGCAGTGAGGGCAACACAAGGAACGGCTCCCTTGCAGGCTGTGGTATCTGCTATCACTGAAACCTCTCACAAGAGTCCTTTATAAAACTGGAAAGAAAGCCAAGGCAGTTCATAATATATAGAGAATAGCAAAGCCCTTACCTAAATGAATGAATGAGTGAATGTCTTGTTACGGTAAATACAAACTACTTGAATACTGAATGCTTGCCCTGAACACAACTCCAATAGAAACATTTGATTTTACTGCTAACAGTACTTATCTCAAAAAATCAAAAGGCAGCCAGCATTGTTGGAAACTGGAACCTTACAGATGTCTAAATATACTGCCTTATGGTAACTGCAGAACCAAGATTATTATTTTTTCTCCTTTTTTCTGACTGCTTTTCAAGTTGTGAGTGGGCGTATTTTAATTAATCCAATAATGATTTTTGAGATAGTGATTGATGTAGTTTAAACCTGGCTGGCAGCCAAGCACCACACAGCTGCTCACTCACCCTCCCCTCCCTCGGGGGTGAGGGAGAGAAATGGCAGGGTAAAGCTAAAGAGACTCGTAGGTTGAGATAAAAACAGTGTAATTTTTTTTTTTTTTTTCAGTAAAATACAAAGGGGTAATGCACAATGTGATTGCTCACCACCTGCCCACTGATGCCCAGCCCATTCCCAGCCAGTGATCCCAGAGAAGTGAAGATCCCAAAACTGCAATCCCAGAAGCGAGAGCCCTCCCTTCCCGACCACCCCTCCTCTATACACCGAGCACGACATTACATGATGGGGATTATTTCACTGGCTAATTTGTGTCCAGTGCTCTTGCTCTGCTCCCTCCCAGCTTCTTGTGCACCCACGCACAGGCAGGACATGGGGAGTTGGAGAGTCTTAGAGCTCTCAGCAACAACTGAAAACATCAGTGTATTAGCAAGATTCTTCTCCTACCACACCCATTACTGAATCCAAAGCACAGCACTACTCCAGCTGCTAAGAAGGAAAATGAACTCTATCCCAGCCAAAACCAGGACAGTATCCACCCCTTATTCCAACCCATTTATGTTATGCTCAGGTTCCATGTTTCCCAGTACGTTCTAAGGAATCACCATCCCATTTCCTGGTTTTTGAGGTATACACACAGATATCATTCCCTTAGGCTCTAGGCCATCCCTCTAACATGTATAGTGAGTTCATATAGTCCATAAGTTTGGGGTCCACTGTCATGACAGTCTTTTAAGTCAGGCGGGGTGATGTGCTGTTGGTTCGGTGGGTGGAGCGGGTGGTCTTGGGCACAGCAGGGAGGAGGGCACGTAGCCTCTGCTACATCTGGAGCTCCTAGCAGCTGTATCTGGTGTGGTCCATGCTCACAGATTGCGGGCTGAAGATGTTGATCTCAAGGAAGTTGCTGGGCACCAATTCAGTCCTGAATCTATCAAAGTTCATTTCTCATTAACCTGGGTGATTCTTAATCTGATGTCGTTAGTATAATATGTACCAACCGTAGTGATGACCATCTTCAATAACAGGGTTATTTAGCAATTAACATCATACAGTTCAATTCATCAGCTATTTTTACCCAAAACCAAATCCCCTTGAGGCACACATTTGAATTCCCCGTCCTTCTGCATTACCCACCAACTGCACCCGGGTCCTTGGGCAAAAATAATCCCACGCATGAGTTTACCTTTACCAGAGGCAGGAATAACCCAGACTGTCTCCCCCAGCATAATTTTAATGTGCCCTATGGGGACTTTATCTCCATCTACAGTACGTAGGAGGTTTGACTGGGCAGGTCTATCCTGGTTGGCAGATTCTCTAGTATCTGAAATCCTGTTCACCTAAGGCCTCTGATTTTGGTGCACTAAAATGCCAGATGTTTAGTCTAATGACTTTTAATTGTACAAGGAATCACTAGGCGTTCCTCCACAGTAACTGAATTACTGAATTCTAGTTATCTTGAAAGAAACGCTATGGGTTCAGCTTGTGTTCTCGTTTCACTGCTAAAAAAAAATTGAAACTAAGCAAAACAATTCAACAAAAAGCTGTGTAAACCACATCCTGTCGATGTTCCCCACCCTGCAGCCCTTTACTCAGCAGCCTTTTCACTTGTGTGATGAAAGGCACACGCAGACCCACAGAACACACGGTGCGAGAGCACACTCACCAAAAAATACTGACATATCCCACAGGAGTATCTTGAATACCGACTTTCTGAAAAAGGAGAACATTTTGTATCCGTTGCCTAATCACCACCGGTAGAATGTTTTAGGTGACATGAACATGTTTGAATGGCTCAAACACATTCAGTGCCACTGCAGGCAGGACACCTCACCATCTACTGAGGGCCTCTGCGGCCCTGGGAGGGCAAGAAGCCGGAAAGGCTGGCAGCACTGAAGGCTCATTTCACTGTCATTAGACCCTGAAAGCAGTTAGCTTTCCCAGGGAAATAACATGACTTCTCTTGCATTTAATATTTAAAATGTGATTTAAATGTTAATAATTAATGTCAGAATACTTTTAATTTCTATCAGTGAAAGCATATGCTGCAGTCTATTCCATTTCCAGTGGGAAGGAAACTGTGGGCGCTGTGGTCTTCTGTTATTAAAGCATTACAGTAGCAGTGTGAGTCAGTAGAAATGTGAATTTGTCACAATTTCCTTGTCGGATAATATTTACAGTGTTTCAGAGTGTATGTATGTGATCAGCATTTTGTACCCGCTTGGAAATTGTATCTGGACATCTCCTTTCACGGTTTGAGTTCACACAGGCCTGGTTCCTTCAGTGCTGGCGAGGTATGAAGCCTAATCCAGCTGCAGCACACTGCTAGTGTCACGGGTCTGTCCCATTTACTGTTCACAGTCCCACTAGCAACTTCTGCAATGTTTGTTCTTTACGATAGCTATGCCATTGCAATTCAGAGTATAAGAAAGCCTTTGGGCAAGCCAAGAGTGCCAAGATCTTTAGTTTATGCTGGTCATCATTGTTTCTCAAAAAACATTGAGACATATCAAAGCAGTATCCTAGAAAAGTAGTACACGGGAGGAAGGAAGGTGAAGGAAGACACATCGGTAAAGAAAGTCACAAAGAGCTGGGGCAAACGTCTACACTACATCATGCATTGGCTTTCCCCTGCTCCCTCCCTTTTCTGAAATCCAGTGGAGCTGAAAACAGTATGCACATCCACCAGAAGAACAGAAAAGTTGACACAAGAAAAAAAGAATAAAGTAAAAAAAGCCCTGCACAGATAAAGCCACCAGAAAATAATTATCTGAAAGTCCCACAGCTTTTAGAAACACTTAGCAATTTTAATATATCATAAAAGAAACTGGCAAAAAAACAATTCAAAGAGCATAAAAGAAAAAAAAGAACTACTCATCTAGCACTATCATCAAAAGTGAAACAAAAATGTTCCCGCTAACAGCCCAATTTGCCGCTTCCCGCCCCCCCGCCCCCAGGAGACACCCCCCCCCCGCCCAAGGGGCTCGCTCCCCTCACCGCCACCCGCCCCGCCCCGCCCCGCCCGCCCCGCCCCGCCCCGCCCCGCCCCGCCCCGCCCCGCCCCTCTCTCTCCCGCGCACCGCGCCTGCGCCGGAGGGGCCAGAGCCGGCGCGCGACCGCCGGGCTGCAGGACCGCGATCGGCGCGCAGAGCGCCCGGCGGCACCGCGCACGGGGGGGGGGCGGCGGCGGCGGCGGCTCCTGACCGGGAGGAAGCGACGGGCGAGGCGGCGCCGCTCCGCAAGCACCGCCGCGTCACGGTGCCGGTAACCGCGGAGGGAGCCGCGATCGCTGCAGAGGGCGCCCCCACCGCGCCTGCGCGGCCCCGGGGCTGCAGGACCGCATTTTCGGGGAGCAGCCGGGAGCCCGCAGGAAAACACCCAAAACCGGCACCGAAACTGCACCTCGAGCCGCGCTGCGGGGGCCGCGGCGGTAGAGAGGGCTGCGCCGGGCCACGCACCACAGAGAGCAGCGCAGCTGTCCGGCGGCCGGGCCCGCGAAAACTACAGCTCCCGGCATGCCCTGGGGCAGGCACAGCATGGCGCCCGCCGCCCAGTGCCGGCAGACTACAGCTCCCGGCATGCCCTGGGGCAAGCACAGCATGGCGCCCGCCGTCCAGTGCCGGCAGACTACAGCTCCCGGCATGCCCTGGGGCAAGCACAGCATGGCGCCCGCCGTCCAGTGCCGGCAGACTGCAGCTCCCGGCATGCCCTGGGGCAAGCACAGCATGGCGCCCGCCGTCCAGTGCCGGCAGACTACAGCTCCCGGCATGCCCTGGGGCAAGCACAGCATGGCGCCCGCCGTCCAGTGCCGGCAGACTACAGCTCCCGGCATGCCCCGGGAGGCAGCTCGCCCTGCGCTCTCCCCCTGCCGGCACACAGGGCAGAACTCTCCCAGAGCTCCGAGGGTGCCGCCGGGGGTGCCACGGCCAGGCGATCCGTAAGGCTTCAGGTAGTTGTTGCATAATTTTTGAAATGAAATGTGTTACTCTGTCCAAGTCTGTTCTTTCTATTAATCCATATCTGGGATAATGTTTTCCAATAACACCTTGGATACCATGTGTAAGAAACTATGAACTAAGGGTATTGTTTATTGAAATTTATGTTAAGCTCAATGTAAAGGTTAGGCGGCAAAAGACAGAAAAACTGCTTATGCAAATAGCTGCCAGACACCGCTTGTGTGAGACAAGATAACCTGTGAGACAAGATAACCGCAATTGCTTACACAAACCAGATAGATACCGCTTGTGCAAGCAGAAGGGGTACTGATCAAAGACAACCACGAATGTAAAAATGTATAAAAAGGAACTGTTTGAACTGATCAGTACGGCAGTTGGCGGAGCGCAGACTCCCCTGCCGTCCAGCGCTGTCTTTGCTCATATTCTACTTGCTATAATTAATAAAATTATAATTGGATTATGATCCATTGTGGTCTCAATTTATAACAATTTTGGTGCCGTGACTCGGATAAGGAACGGTGGGCTTCTGTCCTCCGGGGAGGCGCCCCGCGACAATCCGCGGCCCCGCGACTGATAGCCCACCCCATCCTTACCGACGAACCTAAATTCTAGAATAATGAGCAAAGGAGAAACCGGTAAAATCCCATAAAAATTCTGTGCACGGGAGTCCGGACGAAGACGCAGGACGCGTAAGTATATTGCGAATTTGTTCGCGGGTTTACCGTTCGGGCGGGATTGGGTTTCCTGGATTATAGCGAATGAGAGGTTCGATATACTGAACCAAGCGAGTGCGGACCCTTAAGTACTGCGTTTCCCATTTCCCGCGAGGGACTGGGCCAGGAACAAGGGGAGCAAGTGAGTGTGTGTTTGTGGATAATCCAGAAGATGGGGGCGAAGGGCAGCAAGCCTTCGACTCCCATGGGAAGGGTACCCACTGTACCTAAGAATACCCCTCTGGCATATGTCTTAGACAATTGGAGATATTTCCCTGGAACACTAGGGAAAGATAAGCAGAAAATGATAGAATATTGTACTAAGATATGGGGAGGGAAGAAGATTTCTAAAAATGTCTTTTGGCCAGTCTGCGGGTCAGAAGAAGATTGGATAAAGGCAACAATTAAATCTCTGGGTTAATAATAAAAAACCCCTTAACCCAGAAGAAAGTCAGTATGCGGAAGTGTGGCTAAAAAGACCGGGAGCTAGACTTTACCTGCTGAATGAAATAAAAACTAAACAAAAGAAAAAGAAGGAAGAGTTAGACGAAACCCTTCTAACCCCCCCTCCTTACATTTCCCCTCCTGCTCCCACAGCCCCTCCAGAGGTCCCCAGAGCGCCCACTCCCCCACCGGAGTCGGAACAAGAGTCTCCCCCTCCTCCTAGACGTGTAACTAGAAGCCAAAAAGGGGCAGCTCAGATGTACCCCCTAAGGGAAATACCCATGGGGGGACCTCAACCCGTGATCGGATATATTTCCGTACCCTAAACTCGGCTGACCTACGAGATTTTAAAAGAACCGAGATGGGAAACTTAATTGAGGACCCACTCGGAGTGGCAGAAAGATTAAATCAATTTTTGGGACCAAACCTTTATACCTGGGATGAGATGCAATCTATCCTTGGTCAATTATTTACTACCGAGGAAAGAGATATGATTAGACGAGCAGGAATGAGACTGTGGGATGCTCAACATGCCCAGGGACCTCAAGCGGATATTAAATGGCCACTCCAAAGACCTAATTGGGATAATCAGGATCCGGTGCATAGAACTCATATGCAGGACCTGAGAACTATAGTAATTCAGGGAATTAGAGAAGCAGTACCCTGTGGCCAGAATATTAATAAAGCATTTAATGAAATGCAAAAGAAAGATGAGAGCCCTACTGAGTGGCTGAAACGACTGAGGAAAGCCCTTCAGCTGTATTCTGGGGTAAATCCAGATGACCCTTTAGGGCAAGCACTCCTCAAAACTCAGTTTGTGGCAAAATCATGGGAAGATATCAGAAAGAAGATTGAAAAGTTAGAAGACTGGCAGAATAGAGGGTTGGATGAATTATTGAGAGAAGCTCAGAAAGTCTATGTAAGGCGAGAGGAAGAGAGCAGCAAGCGACAAGTAAAAATGATGGTAGCAGCGGTCAGAGAGGATCGTAAAGGACGAACTGGTGAACACAGATCTGCTGGAACGAAACAAGGGAACGTAGTAGTAAAGAAGGAACAGAGATGTTGTTTTTACTGTGGAAAGAAGGGACATATAAAGAAGAATTGCAGAGAAAGGATCAGGGATGAGGAAATATTGAAAACGGAATAGGAGAGCCAGGGGCTCTATATCTTAGGGGACCGGAGTCATCATGAGCCCTTGATAAAATTAAAAATAGGTCCCCATAAACAAGAGTTCACCTTTTTAGTAGACACTGGGGCTGAAAAATCGACTATTAAACAAATACCTGAGGGATGTAAAATTTCCCCGGAAAAAGTACAAGTAATTGGGGCAAAAGGAGAACCATTTAAAGTAAACAAAATCAAAAATGTGGTATTCGAAACTGAAAATAAATTTGGAATGGGTGAACTCTTGCTCGTCCCTGAAGCAGAATTTAATCTGCTAGGACGAGATTTAATTGTTGAATTACAATTAGAAATTAAAGTGAAAAATCAAGAGCTAACAGTGTCTACTTATCCTTTGACCGTGGATGAGCAAAAACAAATTAACCCCGATGTCTGGTACTCTCCGGACACAATTAGTAGACTGGAAATCCCACCGATTAAAATCCAAGTTTCTGAACCCCACATACCTGTGAGGGTAAAGCAATATCCCATTTCCCTAGACGGACGGAGAGGATTAAAACCAGAAATTGATCGATTATTAGCACAAGGAATCTTAGAGCCTTGTATGTCACCCTTTAACACCCCCATTCTGCCTGTAAAGAAACCAAATGGGAAATACCGGCTCGTACATGATTTAAGGGAAATCGTTTAAGGGAGCACGGGGCGGCTAGGGTTAATCCCTTGCGGGGAAGTCCCAGCGGCAGGAATTCAAGGGGGGATGGGATTTGTGGATGTGCCGCTCACTAATGTAGAAGTGAGAGCGTATAAGAATGAATTTAGGAGGTTATTAGAGGACCCTGTGGGGCTGTCAGAGAAGACTGATCAATTTTTGGGACCCAGTATATATATACATGGGAGGAGATGCAGTCGATTACGGGAATTTTTTTCTCTCCTGAAGAAAGACAGATGATCAGAACGGTTGGAATGTGGATATGGGAGAGAGAAAATCAGCAGGGGATACCTGGGGAAAGGAAACTCCCTGTAACCCCTCTGCAGTGGAATCAGAATGAACAAGAGCGGAGGAGAGATATGAGTGACTCTAGGTCATTATAATAAGAGTCTGGAGGAACTCCTGAGAGAAGCACAGAAAGTAGATATTAGGAAGGATGAAGAAGAGGCTAAAACTAAAGCTAAAACTATGATAACTGCACAAGAAGCTGTTAGAAACAAACACAAGGAATCTCAGACAGGTAAATCACAAATTTGAAACAGGCAAGGGAATGAAAGGGAAGGTGGAACCAAGAGGCACCACTGGCTAGGGAAATCACAAGGGAATGTTTTCATTGTGGGAAGGGGGGGCATTATAAACAAGAATGCCCCCAGAGAATACGGGACCTGTTGGTGTTTGAAGTAACCCAACAGGATGAGGGTGGTAATCACTAGGGGTGTCAGGGACTCTACCTCCTGGGGGATATACCAACAGAAGAGCCCTTGATAAATTTGAAATTAAGACCCCAGGAGGAAGATTATGTAAAAGATACAACTTGGGCTGTAGGGGCTAAAGGTGAAGGGGTTTTCGGTCCCAGTTATAAAGAATGTGTTAATACAAGGGGAAGATCAATATGCTGTTAATGATTTGTTGTTAATGCCAGGGGTAGGATGTAATTTGCTAGGTAGAGATTTACAAGTGCAATTAGGAATAGGTGTGGTGCTGGGTGAAGGAAAACTAGTGGTTAAATTACTAGAATTATGGGAGGAGAATCGGGGAGGATATTTAGGAATGAGAGCATCACTGTTTGGATTTTATAAATTATCAAATGAAAATAAGAGAAGATCTGTTAAATAAACCTTTGCCCTATAGAGAAAAACTATTTATTGATGGGTCCTCTCGATGCCTAGAAGGAAAAATATTGGGTTATGTAATTATCGAGAGGCAGAAGATGGAAGTGTTTGAAAAGGGGAAATTACCTGCTGGGTGGTCAGCACAAGCCTGTGAACTCTATGCCCTAAAACAGACATTGGTATATTTGAGAGATAAGGAAGGGACAGTGTACACAGACTCAAAGTATGCATTTGGAGTGGTCCACACATTTGGAAAAATATGGGAAGAAAGAGGGCTTATAAATACAAAAGGG